AAGTGGGTTTTCGCCCAAACTTATCAGATCGTGCGCTTTGAGGGGCCGCCACCGTCGTTGTAATCAAACTGTAGTCTGCATTTAGATTGTAGAACCATTTTTTTTTTAAACATTTCTAATGCGTGCATTGAACCATGAAACTTTTTTATGTAGTCGTAATATAACCTAAAACTTAGCTGAAAATAACCCTAGAACCTAGAGTAAAAACGCTCCTTTAACTCTATAATAATGCATGTGACTATATTTTATTGCATAAATTAAGAATATGTCTAATTTTGCATTCTCGATGTGATGTGTAACAGTTTGTCAAATAAATACATGTATAATTGGTATAATTTTGTATTTTTTGTATAAATCCACGGGGCGTAGATAGCGGGGGGGGCGCATGCCATCACCCACTTATTGACGTGAGGGATGGCGCGTGTACAATCATCCCCCCTACTTTCAGGAGGAATAATAGGGGATTCAAAATTTTCTGGGGGAGGACCGCGCATACCCACGCCTGTTTCTTACCACCCTCTCGAAAACGCCCATTGGCCACTGTCGAGCATAAACAATTGAGCCACCCCCACTTTAAAGATCGTTCCGCGGCGCCTGTAGTATGGTGGCCGAGATGGCTACGGATATTTTTATTTCCAAATTTCATTTTTATTTCAAATTCATTTTTCATTTCAAATTCATTTTCATTCCAAATCATATTTCATTTTCATTTCAAATTCATTTTTCATTTTCATTTCAAATTCATTTTCATTTTCATTCCAAATTTCATTTTATTTCAAATTCATTTTCATTTTCATTTTCATTTTCATTTTAAATTCATTTTCATTTTCATTCCAATTCATTTGCGATAAGTCTCGCGGTCGCCGAGATGGCCTACGGATATTGGTGGGGCGGAGTGACGTCACTTCCCTTAGTGCGGAGCAACAAGAGAACAAACGGCAGTTGTGTTTGGTTTATGATCGGTAGATAATGGTAAGTTTTTCTGGTGAATATTCATGAAAAACACATTTACTCATTAATAAACATATAATATCACTATAATGCAATTCTTTTGTAAATGTGCTTATTTTCATCTTCATCTTTAAAGTTATTAGAGGGTCTCGGCTCTCGTCAACAGACACAGACAGAGACACACAGACACCCACACACACACACCACACACACACCATCACACACACACACACACACACACACACACACACACACACACACACACACCACACACACACACACACACACACACACACACAACACACAGCACACACACTCACACACACACACACACACACCACACACCACACACAACACACACACACATCACACACACACACACACACACACACACACACACACACACACACACACACACACACACACACAACACACACACACACACACACACACACACACACACACACACACACACACACACACACACACACACACACACACACACCACACCCTAATTGGCCTAGCGTTAACAAACTTGGACTACTTACACATCTTGGGGAGAAGGTGAGCAGCGTACCAAAACCAGGTCACTGCGACCTTTATTTGACCTTTACCTTGATCTTGATCATATTTCCCTTTCGCTCTATAACTCGGCCCCTAATTGACCTAGCGTGACCATACTTGGTATATGTACACATCTTGGGGAGAAGGTGTGTCACGTACCGAAACCAGGTCACTGCAACCTTTATTTTACATTGACATTGACCTTGACCTTCATCATATTTCCCATCTGCTCTATAACTCGGCCCCTAATTGACCTGGCACGACCAAACTTCGTATACTTACACATCATGGGGAGAACACGGTGGATACATGTAGTTGGCGACAACTGCCCTTTCTAGTTTATATCTGGACTATGTCCAAGCATACGCTTCATACGTGAATATGTCCAATGATTACAATATGCATCATATTCAGATATTTGTAGTTTATGGACACATTTGTATACGGGTTCTGCATTACAAATGCATAGTTTCAACCGAAAAATGTCTCAGTTTAATTTTACAGAAATATCTTCGTGCTTGAACGTACTCATGAAAAATCGAATCCTATAATATCCGACAAGAGCTAGTGACGCATTATATTGCTCAATGATACGGTTACGAAAGGTTTACACAGTTTGGTAAGCCATGCATTTTATTATTATATAATTAAGTTTATTCGTAAACTGCATTCATTTTGACATGCATAAAAATCGTTGCTGTAGTACAAACCCGTTCAAGTTTTCAGCATCACATGAGTATGTAAGATCACTGTCCTAATTTCACAAATTCATATCCTGGCGACTATTATAAAGTGCGTAATCACTTTTTCCAACTCCACAAACTGAACGTTGTCACATCACAGAGAATTACATCATTAGCGTCCCAGTGCTCCGATTATATTACCCTTCAAGCGTCAAACTATCGCAATGAAAAAATACACGACGCACGTATCTGGAACTGCTCAAAGTAAGCGTATACTATTAATACATCTTATCTTTATCATCCAGTGAGTTTATCAGTGGTGTAGACAGGTCCTCAGTTGTGGGGGGATGATTTTGCTGTTACTTCCATCGCAATGTATATAAAGAGTGCGCGAGGAGCGCACACCGCGAGCGCCGTGGCGTGCAAAGCCCTTAATGGGTGGGGTCCAGGGCCCGCCCTAGGGCCCCTGGCAGGGTGCAGGGGCAGAGCCCTTGTCCGGGTTCCAGGGGGCCCCCGGAAGCTCTTGGATTTTAGCAATTTATAACCTTCAAGATGGCCGTTTTTGAGGGAATTGAACAAAATTGATATTGTAAGTGCAATTTTGTGAATTCTGGGTAATTTTTTTCTTTGGATACCAGAGGTTTAATAACACGCACCCCCCTCCCCACACACAACCAGTGGCGGATCACAGACATATACATAGAGGTGGGGAGCTAATCATGCGAGCTCAAGGGCACGAAGCGCACGGGGGGCGGGGGGTGTTGGGAGGGGGTGTCCCCTCGCACTGTGTGGAATTGTTTAAAAAGTTGCAATCTAAAAGCAATCAATTTTGAACATCTTTATCATAGAATATCAGGATTTTTCCTCCTTCAGGGCGTGTCCCCCTCCTGTTTAGGAGGGGGGGTCCGGGGATTTTGTAGAAAATAACTCCTCTTCGATGCAATTTCCTGCATTATGAGGCAGCACTATTAAACAACCTTCATCACAATACCATCACTGTTGAGTTGAGTATTTTTACCTTTGGGGACAGCAAAGACTAAAATACTTACTACCAAATCTGTGCTATGTATACATGTCCTCACTGTGGTTACCAATGCAGACTTACCTAGGCTAAAATACCTTTGCCTTGAAAATTCTAGGGGGGGGGGGCGACCGCCCCGTGCTACCGACCCCCCGTTGACAACTACAGCACTCGAATCATCTCCCCCTGAAATGTTGATAAAACGTATATTTTACTGAGAACGTTTAAACTGCAAAAAAATATGAGAAAAACAACCAGATTTGAACCAAAAAGTGCATATTTTCACCCATTATACAAAATCGGGAATATACTTCCGGTCGGGTCGCAGCACCCCCATCCCCCCCAAAAAAGTGAGATGAAATTGAATTTTCCCATTCAATCCCCGTGAAAATTCAATATCTCAACTCTCAATAGGTCTATTCTAATTTTGAATAATGCAAGGATTTAACTTTCGTGAGCAGTGATAAGACTTTGGGGATTTTGAAAAAAAAATCGTATATGGGGAATGCGTCCAAAATTAACCGTCGCTGAGTTTCAGGAAAATAATGTCATTCTTGGTACGAGTTACAGCCATTTTACAGTAGATGTATGTCACGTTCCATTTCTGTAATAATACATTAGGAGAGTATGAATAGCGATGACGGATTTGTAGATAAATATCCAGTATTTATTGTCTGTAAAATGTTAATTTTTCCCCATTTTCTTCCTGAAAGTAGGGGGGATGAAAGCCACCCCACCTCAATAAGTGTGGGGTATATACCCCCATCCCCCCGCTATCTACGTCCCTGTCAGATGAACTCTTGATGACTTTTGATATGCATACAAATATTCATAATCATAATCTTTGTTGGCAGTACTCTACAGTATGGTGGCCGAGATGGCTACGGATATTTTTATTCCAAATTCATTTTTATTTCAAATTCATTTTCATTCCAAATTCATTTTCATT